TCTTAGTCCGTAGGGTTCAATATTGAGTTGGCCCGCCCTTTGCAGCTATAACAGCTTCAACTCTTCTGGGAAGGCGTCCACAAGGTTTAGGAGTGTGTCTATGGGAATGTTTGACCATTCTTCCAGAAGAGCATTTTTGAGGTCAGGCACTGATGTTGGATGAGAAGGCCGGGCTTGCAGTCTCCGCTCTAGTTCATCCCAAAGATGTTCCATCGGGGTGGAGGTCAGGACTCTGTGCAGGCCAGTCAAGTTCCTCCACCCCAAACTCGCTCATCCATGTCTTTATGGACCTTGCTTTGTGCACTGGTGCACAGTCATGTTGGAACAGGAAGGGGCCATGCCTCAACTGATCCCACAAAGTTGGGAGCATGAAATTGTCCAAAATGTCTTGGTATGCTGATGCCTTAAGAGTTCCCTTCACTGGAGCTAAGGGGCCAAGCCCAGCCCCTGAAAAACCACCCCACCCTTTACCGAACTTTACACTTGGCACAATGCAGTCAGGCAAGTACCGTTCTCCTGGCAAACGACGAAACCAGACACGTCCATCGCATTGCCAGACAGAGAAGCGTGATTCATCACTCCAGAGAACACGTCTTCACTTCTCTAGAGTCCAGTGACGGCGTGCTTTACACCACTGCAGCCGACTCTTTGCATTGCACTTGGTGATGTAAAGCTTGGATGCAGCTGCTTGGCCAAAGAAACCCATTCCATGCAGCTATCTATGCACTGTTGTGCCAATCTGAAGGCCACACGAAGTTTGGAGGTCTGTAGCTATTGACTCTGCAGACAGTTGGCGACTTCTGCGCACTGTGCACTTGAGCATGCGCTGACCCCGCTATGTCATTTTACGTGGCCTACCACTTCGTGGCTGAGTTGCTGTTGTTCCCAGTTGCTTCCACTTTGTAATAATACCACTAACGGGTGACCGTGGAATATTTAGCAGCAGCAAGGACATTTCACGGAACACCTGAATCCAAGGATTTGGAGGGGTGTCCCAATAGTGTTGGATATATATATATA